GTTTTTGCCCTAGCTAGTTGCCCCATGTTCTCATTATCTACATGTACATACAAATTCTCCATACTGATCTCCATACATGTTCTTAAAGAATTAGTTGAGAGAATTAATTTTGATAAAAGATCAGAGAATTTTCCCAAGGTGATCATTTTATCTGTTCTCATAATCTTTTACCATGATGATATCTTGAAATTGTTAAGAGAAAATTGATTTTGGTCACTTCTGGGCGCACTTATTTGTTGCTTTAAAACCATTATTTTGATATCACATACAAGGGTTAGAGTGAACCGGTCTTGAGACTCGGGAGGGCCATGCCTCAAAAAGCAAAGAATAAAGTCTAGACCCCACACCAAAAACTAAATGACTCTTCTACTGAGCAAGACAAAGTCTTAATTCAGAAAACCGAGGAAACCGAAGGTGAAAGCGCTATGGCATCTCCGACTAAATGGCGCAAATGCCTTGAAGATCTAATAGATCGCCGCTTTCGACAACAGTCTGACCTACTCACTGATCTGATGATACGGCACTATAAATTATATAAGCAAGAAATCAAAGAAATTAAAAAAAGCCAACACTTTATTAGCACGAATTTCGACCGTGAGCTGTTCAGCGAAGTGCTGTTTGACCCGGTAAGAGTTGCTAAATATGTTCACTATAACAAGGTTATGTTATATGGATGTTCTTTTTCCCTGGGGTAAAGAAAATTGTTCATTATTCTGAGAACTTCCTTATAAAGAGGTTCACTACATGTATATCGAGGTTCCGCTGTAGTTGTCAGTTGACGCTTACAGAGAGAATTGTCAACAGTAGTTTAACAGTAGTGGCAGCATACAAGGGTAGTAACAGCAGGGTACAGTATGGTAAATAAAGTGAGTGGAGGACAACTGATGAATTTTGATTTAAGATAAAATTAAAACAGAGTAAACCTCACCTTGCTCAGAGGAACAGCTTGTTTATTTCTACTTGTGGTTTGTTGATCCATCAAAGACAATGCTGTGAATGGACGACCCTGTAAACCTGGAGACTGTTGTGATAGGTAGTCCCTTGTCTCTTTTTCACTAAGAGAAATCCCTGTACTTCTTAAGGGCTCAGGTCGAATTGGTTGAGTCACAGTTCTATGATCTTGTCTTAAATGAGGTGCTACACCACCATGTTCATGTGAAATTGACAAGAGCCCCGTGTGTCGAAGATAAGGTGGTCGGAATTGAGAAGCGCTAACATTGCTAAAGGGATCTTCCATGTTAGTTAGAGACTGAAGTGTTAGTCGAGGGGGAAGATGATTAGTATTACTAGGGCTTTGTTGGAATCTTTCATCACTGCCACGGCGATAGTTCCTGTTATCAAAAGCATACGGAGTAGTCCTTTTTTCTCCATCCTCTGTTTTTATAGTAACTGAATGTTGTTTCTCTGCATCCTTGTTTCTATTTTCTTTCTTTTCTTGCTCTTGTAGAAGTTGCTGTTTTTGTCGTGTTATTGGTCCTGTTATTGTGTCAGGGTCCAGCGAGCCTTGGCTGTTGTCAGAATCCCTGTCATTCTAAAACAAAACAGGCATAGTAAAATCAGCCTTCTTACTAGACATCTGGCATTAAAACTACTCTCAGCCACCACTAAACACTTTAATCCCCAAAGTCCTCCTTTTTATCCAAATAATTTATTATTATAACAGCATCCTAAGTCCCCTGCGGTTGTAATGTGGCAATATTTTTCATAACATGTTGTTTCTAAGCACTTGGAAGGGGTGGGGCAATGGTTATAATTTACTTGAGCCTGTAATGCAGCCATTCCAGGTTTCAAATCTCAACATCTTTTGCATTTTTATTTTTTCACAATTTCCACAGGCATTACTTGGGTCCATATAAAGGATTATGTGCCAATCAGGCCTCCAAATTTTTAACAGAGCTGCTCTTGAACTCAAAGAAAGGAATAAGTATCATGTCATCTTTGGGCTATGTGGTGCTCACTTTATTAGTAAAATCCTAAATCTTTTTCTATATTATATAAATGCAGTACCTCTTTATCTCTCCGTGCTCTCTTTGGAGGGCGGCCTCTGCTTTTACGATTCTTTCTTTCAGTTCGTTTTATCTCATAAGTCTGTTCCAGCTCTAAAAGATGAAACATTCAGATTTGTGAGATCAAAACAGAATGCAGCCGCATGGCTGAAAATAATCACGATAAAATCATGTCAAGTGGTAAACTGACCTTGTCTTTTGTGTGGCGGCAGCAATCCAAGCTTTGCCATGAAATCTAGCTTCTGTGTATTAGAAATAACTCCTTTAGTTCATTATATAAAGTTACACGGTTATGAATTTGACCCTTCAACTTTTAGGGGAGACAAAAACATCTAACTCATCAACAGAGATGAGTATGGGGGTGGGGGGGGGGGGGGGGGGGGGGGGGGCCCATAGGGGGGGTGCAGCCTAGGGGTGCAGGGGAGGGAAATCAACAACCTGGACAACCTTAGGGGTGGATTCCACCACAGCCGCAGACTCCCACCCCAACGGGAAAATTTGTTTTACAAACACACGCAGCCCACACTGGTGTACACTGAACACAATAATACTTTGATAAAAGTAATTTGTTTAATATTAAAAATTAATATTTGATATTTCATTAATAAAACAAAACGTTTTTTTAAGTTATAGCAATAAAAGAGGAAGAAGAAAAAAAAGTGGGAGGGAGGGGGGGGGGGGGGGGGGGGGGGGGGGGGGGGGGGAAGAGGGAGGTGCCCATAAGGCTGGTGCAGTCCAGTGGTGCAGGAGAGAGCAATGCATAACCTTGACAACCTTAGGAGTGGCATCCACCACAGGCAGCGACTCCCACCCTCAAGGGAAAAATTGTTTTCACATGTCATGACAGCCACATTGGTGTTCCAAAACAATGAAACTGCAGGCATGTCCGTGTCCCAGACAAATCCTGTGGGAGTTAAACTCTTTTCTTACGTAAATACTTTCTTTTGCTCCAGATAATTTGCACAGATGTTGGCCATGTAAATGAAAGTGCTCTAGGGATGTTCTTCTTACTTCATTTACATATTTAATTAAATTAGCAAAAAGAACATTCATTAAACTGACCTCTGGGCAAGGAACAGGCAGCTCTGGAGTACGTCGTCTATCACTGTCATCATCATCATTACCATTCACATTGGCTTGAGTTGTCTCATTGCTAGGTGAGTTCACATCACTTTCATTTTCATGATCACTGTATTTTCTCTTCAAAGATGGTTCCCCTTGACTTATTTCTGCAAACAAATGTATAGTAGGTCAAGGTTTTGTTTAATTACCTACCAGAAGTCTCCAGACTCTATTCCAAAGGAATTTTTAAGCACTAACCCCTTGACTCCTAATAGAGGCCAATGAAAAAAAATCTCCCCTTGCCCCATTCCCCGCAAAAAAAAAAATCAGAATTTTTTTGAAGTCCTTAAAATTAAATAGTACTAAGCAAAAGTTCTGACAAAGAATGGTATCATCAGTGGTGGTGCCATGAGGGAAATTTGCTTCAACCAATCAGGAGCACGACCCAGATCTGGATAGTACTAATGATGCATCATCAGTATGGAATTTCTGCGCTTTGTCCTCAGACACCATTTCGCGGGGAAAATAGTGGGGGCGTTGAAAAATCTCAACTGTTTGCTCAGGCTTCCATTATCCAAGATAGTGTTGTTCCAGAAAATATCTACAGTCCACTGTGGAAAGTTTCCTGCTTTATAGCCCCCACCCCCTCTCCATCCATCCTTTAAATATTTTGGCTTTTTACAACTCCCACCCTATCAGAATTTCCAGTGACCTTCCATCAGACTAATATGAATATTTTCTGGAAACACACAATGCACAGAAATATCTTTCAAATAACAGCTTTTTACAAGAGCCAGATATAACATTGGTGAAGGGGAATGAAAGATAGAGAAAAAAAAGAGAAAAGAGATAATTATTTTTAAACCGTCTGATACCCAGGCAAAAATAGACAAATAAACATACAACACTCACACCTCCTTACATGAAGGTTGAAACTCATATTAAAAAAAAGTAACAGTTACATTACTAATTGATTACCTTTTTTCTTATCCAGAGTTACAAGACCTAATCCTTCAAGAAATCTCAATTTTCCAGGATCATGTCTTAGTTTCATTTTTGGCTTAACTTGAATTTCTTCGGTGCTTCTTTCAACTTTTATTCTTGCAGCCAGGCTAGGGGACAATGATCTGTCTGAAGACTTTGGCCTCTGTCCATCTACAACAAAACATAGTGAAATGAGTCGAGACTTTGTCAAGGAAAACCTAGAACCAGTATCGATATACATCACACAAAAGCATATGACCTCACTATACATGTATGTACCAGGGAATTTCCCAATTATTTTTTGGGTAATGCTGAAAATTAACTCACGTTTTGACTCCACTAAATCTCCTTTACCAAACCTAGAACCAGTATCAATATACATCACCATGTGACCTTACCATGTGTACCGAGGAATTCCCCAATTATTATTATATTTTTTGATAATGCTGATGTGTAATTTATGTTTTGACTCAACTAAATCTCATTTAGCCGGCACCATATTAGTTGCCTGATATAAAATGAGGCTTGATCTAACTTAGGTAAGGTGAAAATCAAGTCAATGCAGCCATCTCATCAATCTGATCTGGGAGATCCGAGGAGGTTTGCAGAGGCATTGCCATGAGCCCCTGTTAAATTTGCCTTACTTGCTTTGTTTCCCTCCCTCCCTCCCATTTTTGGGTAAGTATTCATTCCACACATCAGTTTGTCGGCAGATGCCTGGAAATGGGTTGTGGCTTGGTTGCCATGGTGACCTTCTAAGGAGATTACTGCCCTCCTCTCTGACTACTTTTAGGGTACCGACCCGTCAATACTATTGACGAAGTGTTTTAACCACAGTTAATGAAGAAAAACAACAACAGCAACAACAAAAGAAAGCAAGTTGTTGGTGGGCAAGCAGAGTCTGATAACTTCTTCTAAAAAACAAATGGCTACATTTGGGAACAGCTACTAAGAACGTCAGACTAGTTAAATGAAGTAGCATCTGCCATTGCCATGTCTCAATATCAGGCATGGGCACTATGCCCCTACATTCAAATCTCTTCCTTTCATCTCTCCTTGAAGAGGTACCCTTTTAACCCTCAAGCCTCAACATCCACAAACAAATTCTCCAGACTGATCTCCATACATTTTCCTAAAGAATTGGTTTAGAGAATTTGATAAAAGATCAAAGCATTTAGCCTTTGATGATCATTTTATCAATTCTCATTACCTTTTCCATGGATTATGTATTGATTTTAATGTGGCTAAATATCATTTAGGCAAAGTTAAAATGTGAGCAAATGCAGCCAGCGGTCTCCCCCATCTGCGGCACGTGACCTTTGGGGTGGCCTCGAGAGGTTTCACAGGGTTTCAAGGTTCATTGCTTTACACGTGCAGTGTTATCAGCTGATCTTTGCAGATCAAACGCTTTGCTAGTGCGAATCATTGCGGATTCTTGCACCCTCTCCTCCCTCCCTCTTTTGCATTGGGTCATCAGGGTAAGTATTTTCAGGTAAGTTATTTCCACTGATTGTTTCAGTGTGACGGTGCCGGTTAGCGGGCGCTTTTTTGGGTGGTTCCCGCGTTCCAGGGTTGCCATGGATACCTCCCCTGCAGCTTGGCATCTGGCACCCCGCTAACCTTTTAGGCACCAGTTCCCAAGCTCATCTATTTGTGATGAGTTTAATTAGGAGAAAATTGATGTTGGTCACTCTTGGGACTTAAAAGGGTTAAGAAATTTTGCACATACACTGTTACAGAGACTACTCTTCCCTCCCAACCAATAAACTGTTATCTGTACCATGAATGTAGTCCCCATTGAGAAGGGGTGTTCTCTCTCTTCTCTGCCACTCTCTGTCCCCAATGCCTCTGTCCATTCTTGGTATGCCACCACGAAAACCTTCACGAGCAAAAGGATGGTTGTCCAAGTAAAGTGGTTCGCGCATACCTGGTCGTTCAGGAAGTTCGCCAGCTGGCCGCCTTAAACTTTCAGGATGAAGGTGCCGTAGGTCAAGTTCATTGCCATAACGATCACCAAAGCCCTTTCCATCTGGGGGTGGTGGGTGGAAAGGATGAAACGGAAACCCTCTATAGAGGTGCTCAGAGTCCCTACTGACTGCTAAGCGAGATAAGTTGTGGTCACCTTTGTGGTGATCAATCGAGAGTGGACTCTGACGAGAGAATAAAATTAATTGACTGTCAATCAAAATGACTGGCTAAAATGTAATAATAATAATAATAATGATGATGATGATGATGATGATGATTTGGAGGTAGCACATCCACAAAGTGGTTCTTCGTCCGCCAGATTCCTGATTGAATTATTGGAATTTGGAAATTTTGGTTTTTGAGAAGAAGGGAAAACCGGAGTACCCGGAGAAAAACCTCTCGGAGCAAAGGAGAGAACCAACAACAATCTCAACCCACATATGGCGTCAACACCAGGATCTGAACCTGAGCCACATTGGTGGGAGGCGAGTGCTCTCACCACTGCGCCATCCGTTGCTCCCCAACAATAACAGTAACAATAACATTGGTAGAATTGCACTGATAATGACATTCCTGGGTGTTATGTAAATGTACGAGACAATAATAACTTTTGCACATTGAAAACTTTATAATAATAAATTAGATTATTAAACAATTTTACAAATTGGTGGCTTGAATTTTGGCAACTTATGCAAATTAATAAAGATATTTTCCTACAAGTCTAACAGGAAACAATAGAACAGAAAAATGAAAATTTTTCTCCACATTAATCGTTATCATCATTACCACAACAATATCAATATCACAACAATCACCATCATCATCATCATCATCAAAGCTGCCATTGATGGCAGTATGGCACCATTGTTACCATCATGTCTAGGTTTTCAGTCAACATTCTTAAAGCTAAAACAGAGCACCTTGTTTGGTTTAACATTTTGTTGCCTTATAAGAGTAATGCATCTGTGAAATGAATCAGGTATCATACTTTGCTTGTTTCCAGGCGATGCTGATGAAGTGACTGTGGATAGTGCAACACTCCTAGTCCTGGTGGTTTGTCGTGCTGAACATGGTGCCGAGACCAGTCTTCCCCTGGGGCCACACGAAGGCCCTCTTTCTGTTCAAACATCAGCCGTTCATGTAGTAATAACTCCTGAAGGAGAAAAAGGAAAAGCTATGTTCAGGCTCATAATATTGGGTGCTTTCAGATAAGGTACCATTATCTTTTTTCAGTCTACACAGGTCTCCTTCTCTTTAAAGATTTTCTATCTTCAAGGCTGTGCTCTAAGAAAAATTGAAGAGAGCGCGGTGGTCTGAGCCTGTGAAATCCAGCATGCCCAGCGAATGATTTCCATGAAAAAAAACCTATGATTATCTAGTGTACCAAAGGCTACCAGGCACTGGTAGAGCAGACCTGATCTCAAAATAAAGTTAACCACTCCATTAGCACTTTAAAATGGTATTTTGGATACCATCGGTGAAAGTTTACAGATGTATGAGGTGGTCACTTATGACAGGGGGTCAAACAGGGAGGTTTGACTGTATTGATCAAAATAGCTCTTTCGCTTCTAATAGTGACCATTGAATTCACATTTCGTTTTGTAAAATCAGGGGAAAAAAAGAGGACTATCTAAAAGTTCTACCAAAGAGCTTTTATCTGAATGGCAACACCATGGGATTTTGTCAAGAGATTCATCAGTTAGAGTGATAAATAATCTTAACATAAAGAGGAACAGGAGTGAAAGGGATAACTAAATAAACAAACCTCAAATAATATAATGTTCACATGACACAGGATGAAATTTCAAAAAATTTCACAAGGAACCACCCTAACCATGAGAAAATTTAGATGCGTAACTACTAAAAAATTTGAATGCCAAAATCGAGGTCAAATTTTTAGCTGGTACAGTCAAAAACTTGACCAAAACACCATGATTGTCTAAATTTTGTAAGGCAAGGGTGTGGTTGCATGAATGCATGGTTATTCAGCTGGTTGAAACAATTTTGGATTTGCTAGAGTATCAGTCTGCTCATGGGCAGATGGTAAAATGACTGAGAAAGGTTGAGAAAAGTAAAGAGAATAGTCAAAATTCAACCTGGTTCATCATTTACATGTAAACAGAGCAAAAAAAGTGTCTGGTCAAATATTTCAGCCAGGTGAAAATTTGTGTGAACTTAAGCTAAGTGTCCTTAAAACTTTAAGCCCAAATATCCAGATACAAATTCTCCACACATTTGTCGCCATACATTGCCTTAACGAATAAGGTGAGAGATCTTGACAAAAGATCTACAGTCAACTCGTGATAATTCGAACCTTCAAGGGAAACAGAAAAAAGTTCGAGTTATCAGAAAATGTTTGGAAGGGAAATGAAAATTGCTTCGAGTTAATGGTAGGTTCGAGTTATAGAGGGTTCAAGTTACCGGGAGTCGACTGTATTTTACTTTGGTGATCATTATATTAACTCTCATAACCTTTTCTCTTCGTTATGCATTGACATTGTTGAGAGAAAATTGACGATGGTCACTCTTGGGAGTTAATTATAATTATCTGTTGAAGGGGCATGCTTTACACCTACCTGTCTCTCACGTTCTCGCATAAAATCTGCGTGTCTCCCATCCATAGGGTGGAGAGGGTATGGAGCATCCCTAGGGGAGCGGACTAAATATGGGTGAAGCATGGGTACTTCATGAGCAGGGAGGAACATTCCTTTGTATTCGCCAGGTCTTGTCATTTTAGTAGCTAGGGCCGGATCACCTCGGACGTGAAGACTGTGGCTCCTTGGGGGCTCCGATGAGCTTGATGTTGGAGCCCCTGTGGGTGCTCCATGCCCATGAACAGGGCACGATCCAGGTTTGTGTTCATGGTACATTCCCTGCTGAAGTGATCCCTCTGCAGAACTTCTTTTTGGTTCCCCAGAAGTTCCTTCTACTTCGTTATCTTTCTTAGAAGAATCAGTTGCCTCCTAGATATTTATGAAATGAAAAAAGGGAAAATTTTCAGTTTTTACATCGAACAGCTAACCACAAATTACACTGCAAAGCCACAGAGCAATAAATGACAGAATAGTCATTTCACCCTGGTGTGAAAATTCAAGTGATACAAACATTTAATCCATAAACCCCACTGAGCATTTGCCGTAGAAAAGGGAATCAGGGACCATGCAATGAAAACAAAAAAATCTTTCGACAAAAAACAAGATGAAGAGCAATGTTGCATGTTTTACCACCCATGTTCAAAGCTGTCTTGCAACAAATCATATTGCTGCAAGTTGTGTGAATACTGACTTCTGATTGGATAATTTATAAAAATTACATGCAGGAGTTTGCCATACCCAGGGGTTACGTCATTTGCTGCAAAACAAGTTTGGCTTGGGCCAGTAAAATGCACAACATGTACCAATTTTGTTGCAAACAGTAAAACTACTCTCTAATTTCTGCAAAAACGTTTCATAACCCGCAACAACCTGATTTGTTGCAAGAGACATTTGATTTGTAAGCGGGAAAATGCGCAACATCGCTATTCAACTTGTTGGCAGCAATACTGGAAAACAAGTTACACAATTTTGCAATCCATTTGACTATACCTTAAGTCAGTTATTTATGGAAAATATTCAAGTAACACAAGATCCAGCGTGTAACAGCAAATTATTGTTATTTACAGCACTGAGGTACAAGTACACAGGCAAAAAAACACAAGGATTGGTTTTTCCCTGAACATTATCAAAATCAAAAGGCTATCACATCCACACCTGTTTCTTGGCTTCTCGCGGCTCTGAATTATCACTTGGCCTCAGATGAGGAGAATTCTTTCTAACAAATGATTCAACGCTTGCAGGAGGCAAATGCCGTGCAGCATCTCCAACATGTGCGACAGGGATGTCATACGGCTCCACTAATATGGTGCCATCAGGTAGCAGTGAATGACGCTCATGCTGCTGTCTTAAGTGTTCAGCTGCCCGCTGCTGTCTCCATGTGCTAAAACGTATATCATGAGGATCCAGCATCTTAAAGCAGAAAGACAGAAAATAATTATTATACAAGAAATGGTATAAGGTATAGAGGAGTTTAAAAAAATTGAGTCTAGGGTATTTTTTTAATTGATGACAAAATAACAACATTAATATATAGCCATAGAAAAACTAAATAAGTAAATAACAAAGTAACAAAACTAATTACAGCCTTTTACAAGGGTATACACTCATGCTATGTTGACACGACTCTGGACGAATTTTCAACCGGTTGAAAATTCCTGTGTTTAAGTGTTCTTTTCACACAGAACCACCTTAATGCTGTTCTGTGTAAACAGAGTGAAAATGTTGCACAGTCCTGTGAGCAAGATGTCAAGTCAAATTTTTCAGCCAGTCGAAAATTTGTCCAGGGGTGTGTAAATGTAGCCTCGGTCAAACCTTGGCTAACAAATATCTCCCATAAGCAGACACTAAGGGCACTCTCTAAAAGCAAGAACAAACAGGTTAGACTGGTCATTTTGAAAATGAGATATCAGTCTTGAATTTTTCCTGAAAACCAATAATGCTACCAAGCACAACATTTAGGACAAGGCTGATCTGGATGGATAGTCCTGATTAAAAGTGGAATTCTTGTTAAGACTCGGCTGGTTTGGCTGGCCAGTTCTGACAGTGGTAAGCACCCTTTTTCTTCCCCCCAGCCCATGGTTTATGCAACTTCAGACACACAAATTTCACAGACTTTTCAAGGATTTTTCAAGAACAAATTACGGTTTTCAAGGACTAAAATTTATTCAAAAAATGGGCATTCTTAACCCCCTCTTGAACACTTTAGTGGCTAAAACACACCATGGAGTCATTTACGATTTTTACTTCTTCAGCCATGGTTGATCACATTATTTTATATTTTTCAAATAAAGAAACAGAAGTAAGATATTGTCCATACACAAAAATATTTTTAGACAAGGTAGTGAATTTCAAGGACTTTTCAAGACCTGATAAAGAAATCAAGTACTTTTCAAGGACCTTAACCAAATTCAAGGACTTTTCAAGACGACTAGTAAAATTCCAGACCTTTTCAAGATCGTACGAACCATGCCAGCCATACTGTATACAAACACTGCATCCTTGATTGACTTAGAAAGGAGGCAAAGGGGGCTAACCCCGTTCCCTTGTCCCTTTTTATAAATTGTGCTGAAATTTAGAGCTGTTTTGTAGAACAGATGTTGTCAGAGTTCTTTAACCAGTGGATAAAATTATACATGTAGCATCTATATATCAAGCTGTCTCCCAGCTCTCAGCTATTTCTGAGTTTTTCTGGATCCTCTCCCTTGCACATTTTAAACTCCCTTTGGAGAAAAACTGTCTTACTAGGTCACTTCTTCTACTCTCTTAGGTTACAGCTCACTATACTATTTTCCTTTTTTGTTTTAGGTATAAAAAGGAAACATTGGGGAAATTATTGGTATCCTGCCTAGTAATGGCTACAAAAACAAAGAGGATCAAACTGTAAAAATCAATAACAGTTTATCGTCACTGTCACGAAACAAAGTTACTATGTCAAAACACTACAGCATAAAAGTCATTGTAGATACAAAAATATGTCCTTGTGTTTCACAAAATAAAGATTTATTCTGGGATGTGTTAGCATTCATGGAGGGAAAAGCATTAAAAATTACATCACTAAGAGGTTATCTTTTCATCTTTTATTTTAATATTTATTTTTTTCCACCAAACTGTCATATTACCTTACCAATAATCATTGGTTACAAGCTTACCGGGGGTGGGTAAGGACTTGGGTAGAATGCTGGTAACATATGGGTCTCTGGGCCATCTCTCTTGGAGGCCAGGAGAGGAGGGGGCCCAGGTGGGTGGGCACCACGAGGCACATAAATTGGCAAGTCTGGTTTAGCACCATAAGCTGGGTAGAAAGCCACAGCACCATGAGGGGGCTCTGGTGGATAGCGTTCTGACAGCATAGGTACTTCAGAATGGCCTAAACAAGGAAACAAAATTATAAGAAACAGCTATAACTGCGGTACAATAAATGACATGCATTCTTCACCTCAGTTATAGCAAATCATATGGAAATTAATCCTAAAATAACAAAAGTTTATTCAGACCATTGGCATTCCGTTGAATCAGGGTCTTACCATATAAAAGTCAAAGAAAAACTAAAGGTAACTGATATGTACAGCCAAACACAAAGCTAATCTTTAGGATACAATATTGAGATAATACTGTAGCTGGAGGTGATTATGTGGCCATGGGGTAGTAGTAATTACAGTTTGATCTTGTGTAGTCCCTCTTTGTTCTCAAGCTACATTTTAAAGATCCTTTTTAATAATGTTCATGCTTTAAACAAAAGAGTGGGATGTTTGAAAAAGTAGAACTCAAAAAGTTTTAATATAAATTTCTTTACAGGTGTCTTGTTTAACTGATAATTATGTAATAGTCTCTGTAAAAACTTCACTTGATATTAATAAGTTCATTTGTGATAAAATTTTACATGATTTTCTGATGTATCTAAATCAACGGAAAACAGCTTTAAGCGGCATCAGTTCTGCCAAGAATTCAACAAATTACATCCTCTCCTTCATCTCATAGCATAATAAATCAGTCATTTCTTTCACTCACATTTGATATTAAAAAACATGTATTCAAAGTAGCCAGCCCTTAAATTTAGTTGTGTGAATGAAATGCCCTATGGCTTCAGTTTTAATCCAAATAGGTAGTTTAATGAATTAGTTTCCTTTTTACAAAACAACATTGTAAAAATGATGAAATGTAAGAATTCATATGTGAATGACACAATAAAATTTTATCCAAAACATGCACAAATTGCATATAGAATATCACCTACAATAAAAACAACAGTATTATTTCCTGTTGACAAAGTCTACAACATTGGTGTAACAAAGCTAGGTTTAATCGTTTTCTTGCAAGCAGGAACCATCAAAAATTATTATTGAGAAAAAACTTACAGCAAAAATCAAAATGATTCTGAAATTAGGAGTATCCATGCAGATTATTACCTTTCTTCTTTTATTTTTAAAAAATAAAACAAAAGAAACATGATTTGTCATGAATAAATATAAAAAGAGAATATGCTGTTGAGTCACGATTGCAGTGGGAATGGTTATAACAAGATCTGAAGACCACAGCTGATTTTCGAGAGAATTATGACTTCAGGCTGAAATGTGATGTGTTAGATCTACAATCACCAAGCATTCACCATTTCAATAACATATTAAATAAACAGAACCTCCTAATCTGAATTAACTCCTGGCAGATAGCTGTTTAGGCATTAACATGAATTGCTTCTGATCAGACAAATTGATTGCCAGTGAAAAGATATCATCATATTTCTTCACAGAAATACACTCAACTACATTTCAAGTTGAGGATTTTTCTATCAAACTATCTTTAAGTGCAATATTCTTCGTGAAATACTAGACAGTGAGTGAATAAAATTATGTTTAGGTTTAATCTGTTAAACAGGAAAGGAGTAAGCTCTGAGGTTCTAAGGCAAAATTTCTTTATGCCACTGAAAAGTTTTATTCAAATAAACTTAAATTTACCTTCAGTGAATAAAATACAAACTTAAAAGAAAAAAGCAATGATGGCTACAACAAAATATTTGGTGGCTGATAGCCTTTCTTTGTGAAAACCTTGTGCAATTATAAATAACCCCCTGCCAAACATGAATAAATACTGTGAATTTTAGTCATGCTTAAGTAAAATTTCACAAATGCAGATACATTTTCCTGTCTAACAATGTGTAAATTGTGAAGGAAAACCAAACTTGTACCTGTTAAAAATCACCTCTTAAGACCATGAAGAAAACCAACCACAACTCAGAGATCTTATAAATTATTCAGCAACAATGAAAGGCATAAGGTATGAATGTGTTTGAAGATTTCTACGATTCCATCCTTTTGTCATTGCGCTTGGCAACTGAAATTCCCACAAGAGGAATGTAAATTATGAATGGTACAACACTAAAATGACTGAGCTCTTCAAAGCTTTGCCAAATTGCTTCATTTTGAAAAGCCTGTGAACCGCTTTGAGTTTTCACCAAGAAGTGCCTGAAAAACCATTTTGTCTCCTGTACAAATAATTCATTAAGTTACACTTTGTAGGATCTGCAATGTGAAATCAACTGTTGCCTACCCTGGTTTTTTGTCAAAAGCACAGAGATTGCTTGTAAAAGATGTGCCACATGTTGCAGCTAAAGAGTCTGGCCTTGTCAAGGTTGAGGTTACAAAAGAAATACAGACAGAAATGCAGATACGATTCAAAGACAGGTGGTAGGGCTTTAAATTAAAATAAACAAGGCTAAAAAGTGCAAGTCTTATTATTCAAATAGCTTACTCCTCAACAAGAAAGTTTAAGAAATCAAAAACGATTGCAATTTGCCTTCTAGAACACTTCATCATCCTTGTGGGCAAATGGCCAGAGTTTACAAATCAATCCTCAAACCCAAAGCAGTTAAAATAAAAAGCTCTTTCATCTGTGTAACACACAATGTAGTTTGATTCAATTCTAATTAGATATTCTCTCTTAAGGTAAAATAATGAATCATATATCGCTATCCTCTAGGATAAAAAAAAATACATGTACTCACAAGCTTGTTTACTGCTTAAAAGTCCTTACCTCGAGGCACTGATGAATATACACCTGGTAAAACCTCATGTCCCATCCGAGGGTGGCTAACTTCAGTCTTGTGGGGACCCCTAGAGGAATCGCGGTTTTGTTCACCTTGGGGAGAAAAGGACAAAAATATGTTTACAAGTTCATATAGCAACATGTACGGAACATCAAACACTGGTGTAATCCATTTGATGTTGCTGTATGTCTAAACGACTCATTATTAGCCGCAAAACAATCAAGAATGAAGAAATTTCAAGCTGGTGAAATATCCTGTTTGACTTTCATGGTAAAATCAGTCTTTCCAGCTGTGAAATTTTTAATTATCAAAGCAATATCCACAGAAGTAGCATTCTTTTATTGGGGTGTTGGGGGGCAAGGAGGGAAGGAGAAAGTAATTAATCATTATAATAAACAAAGAAATTCAACAAGTTCTTTTTCTTCCTCAAAAAAAACAAAAAAACAAAAACACATTATCAACAAGCATGCCAGTGATCACTAACTTTCTGAATTTCATGCACTCTACAGAAATACAGAATAAAAATTTCAAGATGGAAAAATGGATTTGAATGGAAAGGAAATACTTCATAAGAAGATCCACATTGTTAAACTTGGCCTTAAAATATTTCTGAGCAAAAGAAAAGCTACCAAATGCAGTAGAATCCCGATTACTCAAACCCTCAGCTACTCAAACCTCCCAGTAATTAAAACTTACATGAACACCAAACACATTAAGATGGAATCCATCAGGAAATTGAGTAATTTTAATTCCCAATAGACAAAAACCTTGTACTAGAATTATAATTATTTAAACAGTATCTCACTTTTGTTTTTACAAAGTCATCTGTAATAACACCAAAGAAAATTTCTTATGAAACTAAATGTCAAATTTCACAAAATGACATCTTACACATGAAATTTTCTGAATTTTACCTGTGTTTTCACAATTCTTGTGAGATTTGACATTTATTTTCTCGGGTTTCCATTGGAAATAGCCTTCAAATGGTGTTATTACACATAACTAATTATATCTATGGCTCTTGAAAAATGTAAAAAAGAATGCGACATTGTCATGGAAATAACTCAAGTTCCTGATGGATTCCGTCTTAAACTTTCTGCCATTTGTCAGCTCATTTTAATGGGACTGCCAGAGACATTATTACAAATGCCAATGTTTACAGATCTTTGACCTAAATTATTTTACCTGGCACCTGGATAAGATTTTTTATTTGTTTTAAGAGTCTAGCCTAGTAAATGTTTTTCAAAGCGCACCTGACCGATGATTTCTGTGATCTGGATCAAGAGGAGGAACATTAGGCAAAGGAGGTGTACGGATGCCCACACCTCCAAGAACCTGGTGATCTCCTCTTTCTTTAGCATTCATCTCACGATCAGTCTGATTTGCTGATGGTGAAGTTTGGGATGGTGACATTCCTAAAAAACAAGCATGAACAGGTCATTATTGTTTTATTGGATTTGGAAAAAGTAATAATAAAAAAAGCAAAAAGGGTCATTTGGGCCCTACAAGGACTGGGAGAAAGAATTTAGACCAACACGTTCCAAGATGTCCCTGTAGAAGGTGGTGGTTCTGGAACGGGGTCAAGGAAGGTACAAAATTGCTTACTATCAATCCAAAGAAAATGGGCCATTTGCCTCTTTTTAGTTTGTTTTTACACGACCTTTGTTTTCCAATCAATTTTTACTTCTTATCTAACACTGCACTTTGGGACTGAGGCTTTATCTAAATGAACAAACTCCCCAGTGGGAGAGCTATTGCTCTTGGGTGAGATGGATTTGTAAACATCCTTGTGCAAATGTCCGGCGGTAACCCTGGGTCGATCTCCACCCTCCATGGCCACTGATAAGCGCATAACCCTCACCTGAACTCTTTACGCTAACTGCAGAGATGCTGGGTGAGACAGAGTGGGAACTATTCTCAGATGGAGAGGGTGACGACGTTGTTGAGGGAATGGGTTTTGCTTGCTTGGCTAATTTTCTAAGAGCTGCTGCAAAACTGGCTTGTCCTGCTGACATGGACGGGTCAGTTGGTGCAGGAGTTGATTCTTTGTTGTGCAAAGTAGGCTGAAACGAAGGGGACACTGATGTTGTAAAGTGCATCGGGGACTCATTGGAACTTTGGTGACTGGGGTTTAATGCCACTCTTTTATTTCTGAGCTGAGATGAGCTACCATCCCCTTCTTCGCTTTCCTCACTAGAGTCAATCACTATCACACGCGACTTGGAAGAATACTTTGTTTTTGTAGCTTTAACTCCACTATCAAGGAGATTCTAAGTGTGAGACAAGAAGGAAAATGAGCAATGTTAATAAAAACCACTAACAGTCAAAGTTCCATGCACAACCACCTCTTGTAGGTGACTACGTTATGTACCTATTCTAGCCATCAAATTAATGCAAGCCAACAAGCCTCAGTTGTTCAAAGGGTGGATAACTCTTTCCACTGGATAAATCTCTACCCAGTAGATAGTATTGGTTTCCCTAATACTTATCTGCTGGATACATGATTTAAGCGGTGGATCGCAATATCCAATGCTTGAACAATGTTTGTTAACAACAACAACTAACAGTCAAAGCTCCAATTTTAATATTATTCTAACTATCGAAATAAGGCAAGCCAAAAGCACTATAGAGTTGAAGAACTATACTAATAACAACAACTAACAATCGAAGTTCCACACGCGACCACCTCTTATATAAGGCTGTAACGATACATCAACCAATCGATTAATTGCGATATTAACGCTGCGATAGCAATGGATTGATAGCAAAAATGAAACATCGATAACAATCAAGACAGTGTAGCCAACTATTGATAGTTGCGATAGTTTCTATAGTTCTAACATTTTGACTTCTTTGGAAAATAAAAGCACCTTTTTTAAACCATCTTTGATAAGGTCACAATAACGGTAAAAAAAAAAATGAAAACAATCTACCTCCCTAGTGCACCTAGAAAGTTTTAGCGTCTTGATTCTTGAGCCCCTTAGTACCTGTATTGTATGACCACCACTTCTTAGTAATTTGTTAGAGTAAGGCAGTAAGTAAAAATAGATATTCCGAAAACTATCGAAACAGTACTATTACAATGTTGCCTATCGCAATATCCATGTGGCCTATTGTGATCAAATATTGCAAATATAGTCAAATAAAATAAATTTTCCCCAATAGTCACCCCTACTCTTGTAGGTGACCACTTACTCTAATTATCAAATCCATGCCACAAGCACAATAAATAGTTGACACCACTACTAAATAACCAGTTATTGAGATGCAAGTTTTTGAAACGTTCATGAGTGGACAAAACACATCCGTGACTGTACATGGGAAAAGGTACTTTAATGCTCATCCGTTAAAAGGGGAAAACCATTGGTCATCCGTTTGTTGCCCATTAGAAAGTTTTCTCAAAAACGTCAGTGGCGTCAACATAACTGTTAGCTTTAAACGTCATAGTGTTAGAATGAAAAGTTTACACATTAGCCAAAGTTCTGTTTCTGTTAGCCGTTAACATCAGAGTGTTAGAGCGTTAGTTGTATCCGTTAGATTGTCTGGCAGAGGCATTAGAAAAAAACGTCCTTCCAGTAAATGGATAATAGCTATACATTTCGGCCAGAGGTTTTGCTGTACCGTAAATGAGTATTCAGTAACGATTCAGAGAACGAAGCAAGCTTTTCAGGCCACAATCTATGTAATCTCTTTGTTGCTCCTTTAAGCCTGCATGAAAATTCTCAACACTAATCTCCATGCATTTCCTTGAAGAACTAAAGTTAAGAGGATTTGTTTAGATATCAAAGCATTATCACTTAGGTGATCATTTACCTAATTCTCATAACCATTTTATTAATTATGTACATTTGTATTGATATTGTTAGCGGAAATTAAAACTGATGTTGGTCCCTCTTGGGACCTGCTTCAGCGATTTTGTTACAAATAGTTATGGTGAGTCCTGGGACTCATCTTGTGAAAAATCATGAGCTCTCATTCCAGAACCAATGAGTCCCAGTTCAAGAAACAAAGAATCCTAAATTGAGCCTTTATGTAACCAGGCAGTTAACTCTGACTGCAAAACTCTGTATTACAGTTTACTGAAATAACAATTTTTATACTCATTCTATTGTAAAGCACAACAGAGACTAAAAAATATTTGTTGTTAAAGAGTAGCCACAAGAACAGCCACAGAAATCACACAAACAGGATATTCTACAACTGTACAAAAAACATCTTCAGATTGATCGATTGATCTTTGCATCCTATGAGATGCATGCCACAAATTATTTTGCGTCTTTGGGGATTTTTACGTGTCTGGAATGCAGGACGCAGAGGTAACAGAATCACTGTTACTTTCAGATACGGGATATCCTAAATCAATACTTCCTACTGCAAAAAGGAAGAAAATGAAAACAGAAACAAAATAACCACAATAATTATGAAGTATAAATGCTTGATATTCAACAAAGAGGTCACGAACATTGTATAATTTGGAACTGGACTCTGTTTCAATTGAATTTAGCTTATTTTTGATGTGGCAATCAAATAACTAAAATTCAACAGAAACATTGAAATACAAACAACAATATCACCTCATGGTTAATAGCTCTCAGAACCAGCAGATAAAAAAATGTAATAAACAGATAGGAGAATCTATCTTTGATTTAAACCAGTGAATAAAATGTTACAGCAAGTTGTACAATGATTATGCCTTCTTAAGTCTCAAACAAATTCCTAAACATAACCACAATCAAAAGATAAAATAAAAGAGACAGCAGTTTTTCTTTCATAAAGAAACCAGGGCCAAAATAACCTCCTGACTGAAGCCTGTTTCATGATACAGAACACCATTAACAACAACAACAACAAATTAATATCACTCCTACTTTTTGGAAATGGCATGAGAAATCCTAGGAAAGACCATCTCAATGTATCTAAAACAACTCATGTGAAAATTAGAAAATACATGCAAATGTATGACAATTCAAACCAGACAAAGGAAATCTCATGGTAGCAGTCATCTGCTTATGCTTTTGAAAGTCATTACTTTCTTCAACTCCAGCAACAAATCAAACATTTGTCTGAACACCAGGGCTAAGATGATGTTGGAATCTCCACTAAACTACTTCAATTTACTTCCACACACAATACTCTATTTAATAACCAAAAATGTGCATCACTTGCTATTCTACAACAATATGTTTTCCTTCAATAAAACATGCATTACTTGGTAATAAAATGTAATTTTCAAAACATGGTTTGGACATAAGTCAAGTGTGACCCACACAGCCACAAATCCACTTTAAGATAAATTAGTCAAAGAGTAAATTTCCAGAAGTCTTCTATAATATATTATCTGTATGCTTGTTAATAGGAATTGAGTGCAATGCCTGATGTAGAATTATGATAACTAGGGAAAGCTTTTGCAAAAGGCTACTTCCACTTTAGATCCTGATTCATGTAAGAAGTTAGAAAGCCATAAATGTGGCCAATTCCCAGTTTTGAGAACAATGACACAGAAAAGATAAATTTTAAACTGACAAATTTTTAACAACAATGATCGGCTTTCTCTCAACTAATTCACTTCATACGAACCATTAACAAACAAAAGCAGAACCTCATTTTGGAGATAGCCTCAGACATGTGCTACCGAAGCACTAACTTAATATTCAAAATGAAACAGATAAAGCTTTTCTACACTGGAAGGGCAGAAATTGACAAATTATCACAAGAACATATTAAAAGAAGCCATTTGGGTCTTGAAAGGCCAAACTTCATAGATGAATTGTTTTTAACATGTGCCCAGTTAGTCTAAAACAACAGCTTACTTTGATTGTTTTTCTCTGCCAAAAAAAACCTCTGTCAAGTATCAGGCCTTACCTCTAACTTCTGTATCTTGATTACAATCAAAAACAGCAATAAAAGTTCAGCACTTTGCCATGAGAGATTTGGATTCCTTGTAGCAAGTCTCTTAATGATATTCAACAGACTAATATATTCTGATATAATAACGGCTTGAGGCAAGCTTAAAGACTAACTCATGGCAGTAATTTTCACCGGCTTGATTAGCATACGCTGCCATATGTCCTCTCCAAACAGTAGCTTAAACATGAATTGAAAAAGTGTGGAGACAATAATCTCAGTTAATGTCATGCAAAGCATTTTAGCAGGTTTTTTTTCAGGTACCCATTGCTTCCCTTTTGTCCACGAAAACAAAACTTATTCAGTATATCAAATTGTTCCCTTGAGACTTGCCAATAATAATAACAACAGTTAAACTGAGTGTGGAGGGATAATTCTTATGCTCAGAGATCAAACAGTGCACAACAAAAAATATACCTTCCTCAAGATCTCCTGATATTCTTCACCAAAAAAACACTTCTCATTCTGACAAGCTCAATATTTTTTCCTCTTATCAATTATTCATCTAGTCTACTACTTCTTTATTTAGCAAGCTAGAAAGAGGCAAAGCCATGCTCTTGTATGCTTAAATCAACAAACACAAAAGATTGCCCTAAAAACTCCTTATTTCTTGCCAAAAAAATGACCAAGAAACAGTAATAATATCAAGCAAGCATTGAAATTCCAAATCTAAGCTAAAATAAAGCTAGCTACTTTCAGAAACTTAGGTGTTGGTTTCTTAGTTCTGAAGCCACCTGCTCCCTATTGTCCTTTTCATATGCAAATCATTGCAATTAACCAACCGCATTAACAACTTTCTTTGTGTGAACTCAGAGAGGTCTAGAAATGTTGAATACATTACAGCAACCACGTCAAGCAAAAACCACTGAACCATCACGGCTTCCTAACATGATATCTTACAGTGCATACTCTTGCCAAAAGACACAATTCAGGAAACCATTATTTTTAAGGATTCATATTATCATTTTTATCTTGACAAACAAGGAATGCATTGTAAACATTTTTTGTGTGACTAGCAGATGAAAGAGGCCCAAAGCAAATTTTTAGAAAGCACACTGTGTCATTAATTTTACACACACTGGGCATGAGATTGCCTTATGGCAAGAGGGGATGTTAATTAAATCATAAATGGTGAAAGCAAAGTAAACATATTGTACAAAGTCAATTCTTTCAGAAGCACAAACACACAAAATGCAGAAAACAGATGAAGTAATATTTGCCAATAAACTTACAACAGACAAATTAAGGAAGAAATAATAATGACTATATCCTGTATTTAAAATCCACATTATATTTTTAAGAAGGTACTTTGCATTTTTTCTTCAAAATCTACTTCTTTCTAAGCTTACATGAAATTTAAGACCACTAGTGAAAAACTAAAACAATATTCAAATTCCTACCATGAAAATAGACTTCCAAGGCACCAGTTTCACAGCTTACAGTACATAAAGGAATTAGCATCTCAGGGTAGAGATCGATTTATACATGTACTTCAATACTTTTATCCTATTACAAAGCTACTGTCCTGGGCAAAATCTATGCTGCCTAAAGTATAAAAAACTTACAAAGTATCTAAATCACCAATCATGAATATTAACCTTGACAATAATACAAAGAATACTAACTTTGAAAAGTAATATTGGAAAAAATTATATTTTATATAACAAAAACAGACTTTAAAAGCCAAGGCCAATTGTATGAAAGGTGGATAATGCTGTCCACTGGATAAATCTCTTTCCAATGGATAGCATAATAATATTATTGGTCTGCCTAATACTTGTCAGCTGGTTAGTGATTTATCCAGTGGATAGTACTATCCAAGGTTTGAACAACCGTGACCAGGGATCACAGTACATTACCATTGACAACTGGCAGGAATTCACTAATAAAATTATTAATAATTTGTAACAGCTAAATATAACTACAATAATATTATTTTGGACATTTTAAATGAAAAATAAAGACCACTCCTTTTCCAAAATCAATTATGGAAAAATGACATGTTTTAAATAGCTATTGGAAAATATCATCATTAATAGTCAAGAGTCAAGGGGAATTTCTTTTTCTATTATAATAATTTTTCATGAAAACTTGTGACCACTCACCCTCTCTTCACTTGAAGAAAATCAATGATACAATGGAACATTTAGCTGGACCACTTCTCACCAAATCAAGGTGAAATAAATGGAGTCTTTTAGTTCTTTACAATTACTGATTTTTAGCTTTGTTAACTGATAGTTTCACTGTATTATTTTCAAAATTAATGAAACTTTGATCTTAATTCACCATTCATTTTTGGCAGGAAGTTTTTTTTTACACTTGAACAAACTGTAGACAATTTGCTAATAATTAGGAAACTAGTGATATTTACAGTCATCTTGTTACAGGATGCAACAAAAATGTCATCCATTAGCCTGGGGCTAGTGACAAGACCCTTTAGGCTAGTACATTTTAATATGAGTTGTCCAAAGGGCTAGCGACATTATTTTGCCATGATAAAGTAAAAAAATAAGTCTGTAAAAAAGGGTGTTGGTAGGACTGTGCAACTGCTGCGGGCTGGTAAACTTCAGCAACTGCTTAGAAATTATCAAATTTTTTCTCACCCTACTTTAATGATAAATATTACGACTATTAACTATCACATTGATTCTACATAGGTACTTAAATTATTAACTCTAAATATTTATTCCCACAAGTATTCAGGGTATTGGGATGACTTCCTACTGAATGACCATTCAAATAAAAGCTTTGCTACAAAAAATATAGGGTTAAAATTCAGCATGATGATATTTTGCAAACAAGGGATTTTTTTATCATAGTATGCTTTAACAGTGGCAGATCCAGGGGGAGGGTCCGGGGGTCTGGAACCCCCTATCTGACCTGATGCTTGTTTGACACCGAAATTCTTACATCTTAACATTTTTTTACAGGCTGAGTTTTTAAATGAAATGGCACGTTGCATTTTGCCACTAAGCTTAGTTCCAGGGATATTAAAAAATGTAATATTATTGTTTTTGGCCTTCTCTGGCTTGTGACGAATCAAGTCATATCTCTGATGAACGGTTGTCAGAACTTGCACTCATGCACTTACATCATGACCTTGACATTGATGAAATCTGTACAATCACAAGAGGAGGATGTTCCAAGGGCGCATCCTTTACGAGTAGAATTCAAATACACAGCAAGGGGCCAAGCAATAATGTGCAACTGTGACTCATGGGAGGGGGTGTGGAAGGTGTGGGGGAGAAGTAATTTGTAACAAAAAAGGTCAACAGTCCTTCCTGAACCAAAGTTAGGACCCCCCCCCCACTTCAATAAAAAAAATTCCTGGATCCACACCTGTTTAAGCTAGCTTCTAGCTTGTTTTTCCTGATGAGCAAATAGGCATACATGAGCTTTGGGCATTTAAGCATTAATTTCAGCAGTGACATTTAGCAAACTTCATTTTTTTAAGAGTGTGGCTCCTTCTGATTGGACAAAAAAAAAAAATGACAGAAATGACCCTCTGAAAAAACTTTGACCACTATTCTTGTTATAATCTACATGCACCTATTATTTTGGAACATGTCTTATGGACAAAATATACTGAAGGGTAATCCAATCACATGGAGTTTACTAGAAGACTCCCTGCATCCAATTTAATTGTTCCTTTGATTAAGATCTAACAGCAGCAAAAACTAAAAGCTCAATGAATACTACCACCAAGAAAGAAACTGACAGTTATTTAGCAAAAGTGCATGAAAGTGATGGCTGTAGATAAACTGCATTTGGAAAATTAATCAGAGGGTTATAAATACAACGTAATATCATTTCATTTACATTTACGGTGCCGATTCAACTCAAAAGTTCTCAAATCAAACCCAATACATTTGGATGAGGAATTTTCCTTAAAATTTCACAGAACTTGCGCTCAAGGCTTCCCTTCTTCCTGTACTCTCCTTCTTACATGTAAGTCCTGTAAACAGGCTATGATGAGCCTACTACATGTAAGCTTTATTAACATGTTCAAATTTCACGGTTGCGCTCAAGGCTTTACTTCTTAGACAACTGTTTATCATATGGACAGCCTCTTAGCCACAAGCATTGCCTTCTAAGTCTAAGTGAAAGGTGGAAGATTGATGTCCTGGTGTCCAGGGATAAAAACTGTAATCCAAAACCTGAGGTGAAAAAACACCCCTGTGATCTTCCTTATTAGCACACCAGCCATGAGTCCCACATGCTTCCACTTCTAAAGGACCCATCACAATGAAATGAAATGAATGAAGAGTGGTGGATCAGAGGACAACAGACGTACCCTCTTACAAAACATTTTAACATGTGAACAGTGAGCTTGGAAGTCAGCAAACAAAGGTGCCACTGGCAGCCGCTCTCAGTCCATTTATGAGCTTACTGTACCCACCCAACCTATGATGTGAATGATGTGATGTGTGAAGGTTGACCACATAAGCGGGGTCTACGTCCCCTACTCTTTTTGAGCAGTGGTGTAGGTTATAAGTATAAGTGCTGTGAGATGGGACCTACAGTTTTTCGTCCCTATTCAAGAAGACTAGAAAGTCTAAACATTTGCCGATATTACAAAGGCAGCACTTTCTTCTCAGTAATTTAAAGACCCTGACTGTTGGTCCGGCCGGGGTTAAGCATAACAAATCACATGGCTAGGCTTAAATAAGGTGGTGCAAGCCATGAAAGACTGTCCAACAATCCAACAGACAACAGACTGTCCAACCATTCCGATTTCATTGGTATTCTCCAGATTTTGCTTGAAAATTGAGACCACTATGCCGTTAGGATAGAAAAAAACCTGACTTTGACATAAGTTCTGGTATTTTCAAACAAATTCTTATACAAACACCTAATGTTCAGAGTGTTCTTAACTGAACCTGACATCCAGAAAATGTAAAAAAAAAGCAAAGCACGTAATATGTAAAATATGATTACTTGCACCTGACAACGTGCAATTAAAAATAAGCATAAAAATAGCAATCGATTTAACAAATATTTTAGACAAAAATTGATCTCTCAGAACAATACAAATGGCATTTCAGAGCATCAAGATTTCAAAATAGCGGCTTGCTCCTTTGGCACTTGCGTGATTCCTCAGTGATTAAAAATTATACCGGTTTTACATACTCAAAAGGTTGGACAGTCTGCCAACAGTATATGTTCACTTGACACATGCATAAAAATAACCTAAAACTGCTGACCAAGGGCCTTGCCTGCAAGCCAAGCCACTGGAATAATTTATATGAAATGGCATGGGAAATTCAAGTTCATGTATTAAAACATCAAATATACATTTTCCAAGTATTTAAAATGTATAAACTGTGTATAACATGTAAGCTGAGACAAGGAATTTTTCTTATTTGTTCTATTTTCTTCATGTAAATACAATATATTACAACATGAAAGTTAGGACTAGAGATTTTTAATATGCAAATGCCCTTTATATGGAGATGCTGTATTAGTGTTCAAAAAGGTTCAGGCTGGCTGGAAAGGTTGTAGCATGAAGAACACTTCAGAGCTAGTACAAAAATAACAACAACGAACGTCTTTAAATTCACAGATTGTTCAAATAGCAAAAGCTCATTGGATAAATTTTGTCATCTCAGTCTTAACCACATTTCTTGGCTACTTTCTTAATGCTAAGTGACACGAAAATGTGGAAAAAATTTTCACACTCTATTTCACATTAAAGAACCCTATCAAGATGAAACCATTCTTGGACAGATGCTTGGAAGGTCTTACAGGTGATGAAATTAAACCTTGGAATGCTCTGTAATATTTTAAATTTACAATATGACAATGTCACAAAGAAACCACAACCTCTATTGGTCAGAAAGACAGGGCCAAAGTTTTAGATGACCTGATGGAGCTTAATCAGTTTAGGGACATTTACAATGATGTAACATGGACTGGGGCCAATAATAAATGCAAAACGACTTTCTATAATATACCTAATATGTGAGTATTACACAGAAAAAGCTCCGATGAAATTTTCCATAACTGCTCTACAAGCACAAGTCCCTGGCAGATTTCTGGAGGGAAATTCCTGAAAAATTTCCCCCTTCACTATTAGACCATGTAAGCATGACAATATTTCTCATGCTAACTTTTAAATCCCTGGACAAAATCCAAAATGTTAGCATTAAAAATAATAAAACATTGACAGATTGTCGCAGAGCACTATTTATTTCTTAAACTTTTACTAAGAAAATTTTGATTTTAGACATGTCTGCATAATTATGCCCAATTCTACTCTGATACTGCAAGTTACCCTCTAAGAGAAAAATACAGCCTTACTTTAAAGAAGAACCATGCTCCAACAAACCTGTTTAAGTTCAGTTCTTTTAATCGTATTGTAAACATGTGGAATTCGCTTCCATTTCACATTAGATCAGCTTCTGGTATCTCAAGTTTTAAGCGCGGTATGACAAATTTCTTAACCAACACTAACTGGATAAGCCTACATAATATATTTCAGTATATCGTTTTCTATCTTTGTATATTTATTATGTATAATATTTAGATTTAGATTATTTTTTAACTGAGATATTTCGTTGTTTCAAACTTTTTTAATAGCTAGGTGGTCTGTCTGAGTATGGGGTCTTTGATGCTTTTACAGATTATCATTATGGCATTTTTCTTTTGTCTTTTATTGTATTTTTGTAAGTAGCCATTAAATTGTGATAAATAAATAAATAAATTTTTCTCTCAGGCCACTGTAAGGAGTAAAAGAGCCATTTAACCAAGCTGGCCTTTTCATTTATCATTGTACTTACCTACAATACCTGTAATTACCACATTTCGTACATAAAACGAAAAATTCTTTGGTGCAGTTATTTTCTATTAAGAGAAATATTTGAAATACTCTTGTAATTTCTTTTTAAGGCCTGTGATCGGGTTATGGGTTATGGTAAACCTACCACATAAGCAGATGCAAAGAAAACAACCTACAGCTTGCTTGCAAATTCTTGTGAGCTATTTTTAAGTGCATTGCAAGCCAGCCATATTAGTACCAGAAGTTGGTTGTTATTCATCAGGCACAGCAAACTTGAGACAGCACAAATCATTTTTAAGAATAAAATACTGCTTCAACACATTATAACTAACAAAAAAAAAATTTTAATCACTAGGACAAACCTCATTTCTTCCATGACGGTTCTGTTCCCTATTCTGCATGCCCATTGCATCATTGAAATCATCCATGGCTTCCAGATCTCTTCTCACTTCTCTTTGGCAATTGCCACACAAAACAACATCTCTGCCATTTTTTAGCACAATTCCAGTTTTTGGTGGTTGGTGATGTAAAGGAAAAGTTATGAGTTGTTTATTCACAGCTCCAGCAGAAGCCCTTGAATTTTGCTGACCGCAAAGATAACAAGTAACAGATGCTACCATATACTTTCGTAACCACCTGTTTGATTCCTCTGGGATGTCTGAATTTTCATACACATTCCACTGCACCATCAAGTTGTTATAACATATTTCACAAGTCAATGCCGTGCCTTCGCCATCTATAGGCTGAGCATTATGCGCTGGTTCTCGAGACGACAGAAAAGGGAAGAAGGGCCCACCGTCGTGAATGCCTTTTCCACTGTGAGGGTATGAAAAAAGTTTGAAGGTAACAGATGCACTTACCGCAACACCACAAAGGAAACAAACTGAAGAAATGTCCACATCTGATGTCGACACAGGTCTAAATTTGAACAAATAAGAACGTTTTTCTTGAGGCACATTTTGTCTTTCAAATTCTTCCCATTCCATAGTTAGATGCTTGCTACATTTCTTGCAGATAAATGTCCGTCCTTCTGCATCTAAAGGTCGGCAGTCTTTTGGGGGTTTAAGCGAAGCTAAGAAAGGAAAATAAAAACTTTCTTTTAAGGGATTGGTGTTTGGTTTCGAGTGAGCCGGCTGTAAATCAGTCTCAGAGCAGTACTGGCCACATGTATAACAAGCTAAATTTACTGATATCCTAGATGACTCTTTTGATGGGACCATCACATCATTGCGAATCCTGTATTCCCTCTTTTCTTCTTCAACCCCAATAGCTTCAAATTGCTTCCACTGCCTAATGAGTGACTTACGGCATCCACTACAAGCCCTAGTAAGCCCTTGTTTTGTAAGCGGCATTGCACCCTCGGGCGTAACCAGGTTGTTTAAGAATGGATAGTAAGGATGCCCAGGAGCGTGCTTTCGCGAATAGAGAAATCTACCTGATGTTGCAGGTTGTGTCACTCCACAAATAAAACACACCATAGTTGATAATTGGGATTGCTGTTCCCTGGGGAGGGAGGGGTCAGATCTCAATTGGTACTGTCTCTCACTAAGTGGAGTTGAATTTTTCTGGAAGACCTGCCACTGTCGGAATAAGAATTTTTGGCAAGCCTCACAAACGAGCACTTTTCCTAAGTAGTCCATTTGTTTTGCCATTGAGGGAGGTGCATGCTTGGCGAGGCAAGGATAAAACGGGGTCTCTGTCTTTAGCTGAGGTCTTGTGTGAACGCTTCTCATAAATTCTTTAGGTTTTCTTCTACTGCAGATGTAACACGTCTCTAAACCACACGAAAGTCGGGAGCCAGACATATTAGCGAGCGCAGCATTTTCTCCCAAAGGCAGAGTTGAATCCTCAGAGATCGGACTAACGCTCTCAATTGCAGGCGTAGCTGAAGCACTGGTGTTGTCTGTGGGCTCATCGCATTGAGTAGCCATTTCTTCAGCCATCTCTTCAGCCCCGTTTGTGTTTATATTATTCCCGGATACTTCTCCTCTCATTTGACTGCTAAATACAGGGCTTTGAGCTCTTTCACTGCTTGTGTCAGGTCCCGACCTCTTAAGCCAGTACATCCGCTTAATTACAGGCGTTTCGTTAGCTTCGAAAGCGTGCCATTGTTGGGTCAAAAATGAAAAACACACTGTACAAGAATCTACACGTCCATTTTCTCTGTCCATTGGCCGAGCGCCCTCGGCTGGTTCATGGTATTCCAAGAACGGGAAAAACGGCATTTTCTCCGAATTTCGAGTTCTGCAGTAGACAGGCCAGTTGGCATTTGAAGCGCCGCAAATAAAACATATCAAAGCAGCACCACTGCTCGAAGTTGGCGCCGAATTAGAATCGGCAATCCTTTGATCTTTTACCCCGTTCAACTTAACCATGGTCGATAAAAATACGTTACAGTAGCATCTTGCTCAAGGCATCCTACCACGATTTCATCACGGCCGAAGAAGAGCTTGTCTGTGGGTCTACGTGACGCGAGGAAAATCTAAAAATTTTGCTGGGCACGAACCTCTGTGGTGGATGAAGCCTTTGTAGTTTTTCTTACCCACGATACTTTGCGCGTTTGTCCACCTGGTTCAGCTGATCTACAAACATCTGTGCCCTTCCACTGAAGTATTGACACAATCAAATACAACAAAAGCCGTTCCCTTTTAAGCCCAGCGATCCGGAGCAAGAGACAAATATAAAAAATGTTCTTTTTGAACCCTGCCCTTTTAATCACGAGGATCAGAAAGAGATAATTGCTGCCTGGAGAATAATTATAGTAACATCGGATAACTTGTCATTAATTTTCTTAAGTGCTCTGCACACCATCCTTTTTTTTTTATTATTTAAAAGCCACCGTGTATCACGTATGCTCTTAATTTGACGTCAAGAGTGGAAATGCACTAAGCATTATTATTATTATTTATAGAAAACATAAAAGCTGACGGAATCTTTATTTAAAATATGTCGTGTTCATTTTCAAGGTGGCCCGACAACCGCTTTTATTGTTTGTGGGCATTGTCTGAACATTTTCGAACATTTACATCATTCGTGATTCCTTTCAATTCATAAGTAATGCTCCAACAATACTCTTGAATGACATTTTGCATCAAATCGCACAAAATTATTTTCTTCCGTCATTTTTTGCGGAAAACCTGTATTTTGGCACGAAATAAGCTTAAGCAGACTGTACCGGAAGCCTGTGGTAAGTGAGACGAAAGTCAAGTAGCATGGCAGTTGTCACTAGAAGCTGGGGTTCGGTGGAGCGAGAAGTGCACTGGGGGCGATTAATTGCAGAGTGTGGCAAAGGCGAGGCTGAAGAGAAATGCGCGTGTCCTGTCAACCCTAGGCGCATCGTATATCTCGTGACAAGAGCCACTTGTATCATCGACATCCTTGTCAGTTGCCATCATCGATAATGACTCCTGTCTCATACTCTATATTTGTTACATACTGTTATTTATATGCCTGATGTCTTACGCATGCACCAGAGAATAATTATATTTTTTGGAAGATAAGCTGCGTAACATAGGCAACGAAACGGGCAAGAGGATTTGGAGGGAGCAAGGGGGAAAGGGACGGGTATTGGGGAGAGAGAGTAATTTAATCATTTTGCGTTATTTTAAAAAACTGACCGTGTTAACCGTGATTCTTTTTTTTTCTGATTGTTTGTTTGTTTGTTTTTTAAGTCACGGACAGGAGCCGATTAGTTATGAAGCTTATCGGGGGTGTCTATTTTCTCAGAATATGCGGAAAAAACCGTCAAATCTAGTCATCGTATAAATCGTTCTAAAGGTTTCGCCTCCTTAGAAGGAAACTGGAGCCGAAATCCCTCCCGCAGTTGCTTCTGGGATCGTTTCTGGAGACGCGCAGGTCAGATTCCCTGTCCCCAATAACAGTCCCAGAAGTCTTTGCGAAAGTTAACTCGGTCCTGTTTCCTTCTGATTTCTTAAGTGGCGAATAGCCCACGTTCGATATATTAAAATTCTAACATGACTCCGAGGCTTTAGGGTCAAAATTGCAAATTTTTCAAGACTCTATTGTCTCGCAATTCCCAGAAGAGACTTGAACACAAAGAAAACCAAACCAAATATAGAAAAATGACCAGAAAGCCTCGGAGTCATGTTAGAATTTTAATATATCGGAGGGGAATCAGAGGGGGCTATTGGCTATAAAAAGATTGCGCAGGAAATTAAATCACGTTTAGTCTCACGTTGAAAGTCAAAATGGCCAATAGAGAGTCAAAAACAAGAAACAATTTTAAAAAAATAATTGAAGATAAAAACTTCAATATTCAATGCTAAAATTTGGCTGTTTGTTAATGAGCTTCATTCTCGGCAAAGCAAATCATCTAGAGTGTCCCAAATCATAGAAAACAGAAATTATAGCTGGAGCATTTAAGAACCATCTCACAGACATTGTCCAATCTCTAGCTCGCGAAATTCACAGTGTCGACATTGATCCTCTTTCCTATGTAAATTTTGTCAACGGAGTAAGGGTAAATTGTTGCTTCTGAAACCAAGAACTGACTACCTCAAGCGTTGTTTCAGTTACATTGGTGTTCTTTTATGGAGCAATATCCCGAGCAAATACGCACAGCAAATTCTTTAGACGTCTTTAGAGAAGTATTCACAGTTGGTTTGCTGATCAGTATTCCCACTCAAACAAACATGTAAAGCAGTTATAGAAAATTTTTATGTATTTTCTATTGTAATACTGATATTTTTATCACCGTGTATAAATAAAGTTATCATTTGTTCATTCATTCAGGGTCGGCTAGGGGCGCCTGTTCATGGACAAAGAGTACACAGTAATTTTCAAGGAGTTATAATAACTCCTCTAGTGGGACCAGTTTAACCCCTTACAGTGGGGTTATTTTTTGGGGAGTTATTTTAACTCCAAAAAGGAGTTTAAAGAACTATTTTTCAGGCGTAAAATTGACCCCAGATATTGAGGAGTTAAAATAACCCAAAAAAGGAGTTATCCTGTACCTAAAATTTTTATTCCACTTTCAGAGTTAAATTAACTCCAAAAAGAGTAAAAACAACCCATGTAAGGAGTAAACGTAAACCCCATTTCGGAGTTATTTTAACTCCAGACTGAGAGTAAAAAGAACTCTTTTTCAGGAGTAAAAATGACCCCAAATTCGGAGTTAAATTAGGAGTTAAAATCACCCCAAAAAGGGGCTATCCTGTACCTAAAATTTTTAATCCTTTTTTGGAGTTACAATAACTCCCTAAAAATTACGGTGAAGGTGGTCCATTTTAAGGAGAGGCCTTTAACCCTTTAAGCCCAATATCCACAAGCAAATTCTCCAAACATATCTCTATACATTTCTTTAAAGAATAAGTCGAGAGAATTTGAGAAAAGATCAAAGCATTTTCTCTTAGGCGATCATTTTATTAATTCTCATAACCTAATCTCTTGACATTGTATGGATATTGTTAGGAGAAAATTGATGTTGGTCACTATTGGGACGTAAAGGGTTAAGAGAGATTTGATTGTAGAGTACTTTTCATGAAGTCCTCTTTGTATATACTACGTGGCTAAAATGTTGCTAAGTCAATGACGAAATCAGTGTTAAGATTAGACAATGATACGGAATGACCTGGTTTGCACAACAAACTTTCCATAAACTCACTATTGACAAAAGTGTTAAATGGGATTGACAGGCCTACACGACTCGTGTTTTTTATAACCTTTTTCATAGTTTGGCTCTTACGAGTATGTTTGTGAGTCGAGTTTAATTCTCTTGCTACTGAATATCACCGAAAAATAAAGAAACTGCAAGCCAGAATTTTTGCTGAGTTCTTCTGTCCGCACTAACCCTCTATTTATTAAACATTTAGTTATCAGTTTTTAATTCATAGGAGTTTTAATGTGTTCTGCAAATATATATATATTTTTCGTTAGGATACCAAGCCTGCGATCCTGGAATCAACTTGACTCTACCCAGCATTTAGAAGGCTTCGCGCTTTAATATAGCTCTAGCTTGAAATAAGATACTCCTTTTGGAAAGAGCATCGCCGTTTGTCAATTACAGGGAGTATCATATCCAGTCAATAACTTTATAGTTTGTGTCAGTCTTAGGCCTTTGATTATAGTCATCCACAATGTTAAGTCACAAGGCAGTTTCTTCATAGCTTTTGTTGACTGTCCCTGAGTTTTCCGAACTGACACGTCCTTCTGCACTATTGGTAGTTGGATGAAGATTCGTCCTTACCTCCTTGTTTCCAGAGAAGAGTTCCCAAAAAGACGCTCGATAGGCACCATTCATGAACATATACACAAAGGGGTTATAAATTACCGAAGCTTTGGCCATCAGCTCTGGAATTTCTGCTTCCCCGGATGTAAGCACGTGACGGCCTCTGATGAGAGCAGCGATGCTGACGGCAGTGTATGGCAGCCAACTTATTAGGAAAGCAGCTATTGAAATGGCTGTCATGCGTACTAACTTCATTTGGGACTTCTGCCTGCTGACTCGCATAATGTGGTTTAAACTTCCTTCCAGTGGCACTCTCGTATCTCCGATAAGCCTTGTAAAGAAAGATTTCAGACTACATTATTCAAGTTATCCCCGTAGTATACCCGCTAGGTCACCACTAGATTGATCCTGGAGCGTGACCAAAAGCGACACCAAGCAAAAAGTCTTCCCTCCCCTACCCCTTAAGTCTGTAAGGGGGGACGAGCCCGTACGCTGACGTCATAGCCAACTTTTCTCGCATAGAAAGATGTCCGTTTTCTATAATTGAGGCTCCGCTGGGAGCGCACGCGGACGCTCCTTTAAAACATTGTGCTGTAAAATGTTAAAAAACGTTAGCCTGCGTAACTGGCGGTTTTGTTTGTTGAGCGCCCAAGTGAGTGGCAAAGAAGTCGCTAGTAGAATAAAGCGGAGACAAGGATAACGTTCTTTGTGCTAAGTATGTTACCTGGGGGGTACTCCCTTATATAAGTCAGATAGATATGTGCCGCCCCAAAGGGTATGGTTTTTACGCCGTTTCGGTCTGAAAACGGGTTTAGACTTTTCTCATGTTGGTTTGGAATCGGATATGGTTTTCCACAGGGAACTACGGGAGTGTATAAATATCAGTTGTTATTTCAATTCCAAATGAATAAGATAATGTTGGAAATTCAAAATGGATTTCAAGAAATCTTTTTCCTGGGTTTCTAATCTAAGTAATGATAGGCATTATTTTGCCTATGCCAGGTCTAAAAACTGGAGTGAAAAATGACACTTTTTTAGTCTGAAATAGGGTCAGGATTTGGAGAAACGGTTGGCACACCTTCACCAAGAATTCCCAGGAGTACCCCACCCCCCCGTATGTTAAAAGCTTTTATTACCTATAGATCAAGTAATGGTAGTTCCCGATCATAAACAAGGGCGTAAAAAAGCCAAAACATATCAGGAAAATAATGTAGGATATAGCCCAAGGATCAGAAGTAGTCCATTCGGGGGCGCAGCTGAAACCTGCCTTGCCGGGCACGACCCTGCTCCAACCAATCAGAGGCGGGAGATTGGCCAATATCCCGGATAACCACGTGGCAGCCACGAGAAAGTTCATGTTTCTTGGCTTGATACAGGGGCGACGTAAGGGCTGTTTGAGCACGTGATACATAATACCAGTCATTGCGACAAGAGTAGCAATGGATGTCATACCAGAGGCGCCATTGGCAAATGAGGA